CACAATTTTGAACCAAGWGTTTTAAGACAGATTGAAGATAGGTCAGCCTGGAGTAATTTCTCTATGGTGGACCTGTCTCCAAATTATTTCTACTGCTTTACAGACGGATCCCTTATAAAKGGGTCAGCAGGTGCAGGGGTGCTGATTCTGCACAACCATAGCAAGAGAGAGTATAGTTACCCACTAGGCAGTTTTGTAAAGGTATCTCAAGCTGAGATATATGCAATCCATCAGTGTGCGGCATCTCTCAAAGAACTTCAGTGTATGCAGAAAGAAATATTCATCCTGACAGATAGCCAAGCTGCTATTAAAGCTCTCCAAGGGCCGCAGTTCACGTCACTACTGACTTGGGAGTGTGCCGAAGCAGTCAACCAACTGGGGAGAGATAACAGTGTTACTGTTAAATGGGTACCAGGACATACTGGCATTTATGGTAACGAGAGAGCTGACTACCTTGCAAGAGCTGGCAGTCAGGCCCACTTTAAAGGACCAGAGCCTGCAATGGGTGTTTCAACAACAATCTGCAGGACTGCCCTACAGGCATGGATCAGACGTCAACACTCAATCCGATGGAGGGAGCTGACAGTTTGTAGACAGGCACGGGAACTGATAAACGGCCCAAATCACGGATTTGGAAAATCCCTTCTTGCCTTGACAAGGAATACTTTAAGTACACTGTTGAAGTCCTAACTGGGCACAATCTGCTCAACCGCCATAAAATGGTGATGGAACTCCAAGACAATGGTCTGTGTGATGCATGCGGCATTGAATCAGAGACCTCTTTGCACTACTTAGGCCAATGCTTGGCTCTGAGTAGTCTAAGGGAAATAATTCTTGGAGACCCCTTTGTGGATCCCGAGAAGCATAGAACACTGAGGGTTTCTAACCTGGTGTCCTTCATCCGAGGAACAAAAGGGTTTGATTAAAGCCCAGTATCTTTTGGGGAGAGCAATGGGCCCACTTATGAGGCCCCCACTCACCTGGGTTGTACCCATACCCAATTACCAATACCAATATCATAAGGTTATGAGTATAACCACGGTTCCTTGAAGGAATGGAATGAAGTACAACACACAGTTGTATATGGGACATGCGTGCCCTCACACGCCAGGCTGAAGCCACCTCTAATCATGTCTTTAGACCAGTGACGTGGTGACTTTGAATGTCAGGTGACAGGCTCTGCCTTCACCCTATAAGTCTGGAGTCACCAGCGTCATTACTCAGTTAGATACCGCCCTTCACCGAGCCTATTGTGATGCGGGGCCAACAAGGTGTTGTACTTCGTTCCATTCCTTCAAGGAACCGTGGTTATATTCACAACCTTATGTTCCTTTTCAGTCATTTCACTCAGTACAACACACAGTTGTATATGGGACTTGTCAAAGCACCCCGCAGAGCAGTATCAGACATGAGTTAAGTAGTGTGCCTGAGTAAGTACTGTACTAATGCAGAGCATTGGACGCGGCAGAAAGTACAGAATGAGCCACCGAAGGGGCTGTTACATCCAGGCTGTAGAATCGTGCAAATGTGTTTGGTGAGGCCCAGCTGGCCGCGGCACAAATGTCACTCACAGGTACCCCTTTAAAAAGGGCCCAAGATGTCGCTACACCCCTGGTGGAGTGAGCTTTAACCCCAAGAGGGATTGGAAGGTTTTTGCTGCTGTATGCTAGCAAGATGGCCTCTACAATCCAGTGAGAGAGTCTTTGTCTAGAAAGAGCATTACCTCTGTGTGGGTTAGCAACAGCCACAAACAGCTGATCACATGACCTTACATCCTGTGTGCGGCTGATGTAAGTGCGTAGTGCATGTACGGGGCACAGAAGATGCAGCTTCTTTTGCTCCTAAGATGAAAAAGGGGGAGGATGAAAGCTGGAAAGCTCTATAGACATAGAGCTGTAACTAGAAGGTATCACCTTAGGAAGATACACAGAAATGGGGTGCAAAACCACTTTAGAGTCATGAGTAGAAAACTGAATACAGGAGGAGTTCACTGACAGAGCGTGGAGGTCCCCGACCCATTTAGCTGTAGCTAAAGCGAGAAGCAAAGCAACTTTGTATGAAAGAAACTTCAACTCTCTCTAGCGGCTCAAATGGAGGGTCACAGAGAGCCTCAAGAACCAGTGAGGTCCCAACAGGGAATACTGGGTTTAATAGCAAGCCATAGCTGACGAACTCCTTTCAGAAAACGCACAGCTAAAGAATGAGCACCAGGTGTGACTCCATCAAAACCTACATGGCAGGCAGAAATGGCTGCTAAGGAGACTTTAATTGTGGAGAAGGAGAGCCCTTTATCCAGTAACTCCTGAAGAAATGTTAAAACATTTCCTATTGGGCACTGAAAAGGGTCCAGGTGCCTGTTCTTACATCATCGCTCAAAAGCTTGCCACTTATAGGAACATAATCCTCTAGTGGATGAAGCTCTTGTGTTTTGGATAGTTGCTATTTCTGCTGGAGGAAAGCCTTTGGCTAATAAGCTGGACCTTTCAGCRGGTAAGCATGCAGCTTCCATAGTTCTGGGTGTGGGTGAAAAATCTTCCCCTCTGCCTGAGAGAGGAGTTCTCATCGAACCGGAAGTCGCCAGGGTTGAGCTGCTAGTAAGCTGATTATCTCGGCGTACCGACTTTGCTGACCAGCGGGATGCCACTAGAATCAAAGACAGGCTCTGTCTGCGCACCCTCTCTAGTTCAAGTGGTATCATTTTCATTAGGGGAAACGCATACAGAAGTACATTGGGCCAAGGATGAGCTAGGGCGTCCACTCCCAGGGGAGCACTCTGCTCTGTCATGGAAAAGAACAGAGGACAGTGTGTGTTTGCTCTGGAGGCAAACAGATCTACTGTCGCTTTTGCCAAACAAAACCCAAATCTGGGCCACCACAGTGGGATGCAGCCTCCACTCCTTTGCTAGAGGTCCGCCCCTGGAGAGAAAGTCTGGACCTAGGTTCAGTCTCCCCGGAACATGAATGGCTCTGATAGACAGAAAATAAACACTGTTCCACTGTAAAAGAGTTTGAGACAGGTTCAGCAGAGGAAGGGACCGAGTCCCCCCTTGTCTCTTTATATAAGAGACCACTGCTGTGTTGACCATTCTGATTAGAAGATGATGGCTCTCCAGAACTGGACAAAAATGTTTCAGTGCTAACAGGACTGCTAACAATTCTAGGCAGTTTACTGTATGTGGAGCCTGGACTGTTGTGGAGTCCAGGTTCCCCTCACTGCCACACCGTCGCACAGGGCTCCCCAACCCTTCAGGGAGGCGTCTGTGGACACCACTTTGCGAAACGACACCCTCCCTATTGGAGAACCCTGATACAGGAGACCAGGTTCCCTCCAGGGGGTGAGAGCGGTCATGCAGGAAGCAGTTATTGTTAGCTATTTGAATCTGTGTCGAGATGGACACAGCTTGTGGGACTGAGACCAACACTGAAAACGGCACAGTTTTAACAGCCCGAGTGGTACTACTGAAATCATGGAAGCCATCATTCCAAGTAACTGTAGTACGGTTTTGAAGCTCAGTTTGCACCCCAGTTGAAACTGAGCTATGCAGCGGTGAAACGTGGTCGCTCTGTTTTTTGAGAGACGAGCCCTGCTTAACAAGGAGCAGATTTTTAGTCCGAGGAATGAAAACTGCTAACTTGACTTTTCTGGGTGTGAACTGAAAACCCTAAAGCCTGAATGTGTGACAGAACCTGAGACAGCTGATGTAATGTTTGCTCCTTCGAGCTTGCGATCAGAGCCCAGTCATCTAGATATGCTAACAGACGGACCCCCTTTCCCTGAGAGGAGTCAACGCAGTTTCCACGCACTTTGAAAAGGTGCGGGGAGCTAGCGATAGACCGAACGGTAGCACCAGATACTCGTAGGCAACACCCTCAAAGGCGAACCTGAGATATTTACTGTGCTCCGGGTGAACCGCTATGTGAAAATAGGCGTCTGTTAAATCAATGGTCGCAAACCAATTGCCCGGGCTGATCGAGTGAATTAGCTGTTTGAGTGTTAACATTTTGAACCTGTATTTTTGAAGGTACCAGTTTAACACTCTCAGATCCAAAATAGGCCGCAGGCTGCCCCCTTTCTTCGGAACAAGAAAATAATGGCTGTACAGACCTTTTGTGTTTCTGCAGCTGGAACCACTCGAATAGCTCTCTTTGTTAGCAACGTGCAAATTTCCTCTCTTAAAATGGCGGTTGCCTTGTCTGTCACCATTGTTTACAATGGCCCGAAAGCGAGGCGGTCTAATGCGGAACTGCAGCCTGTAACCCATAGCAACAGTTCTTTGTACCCATGGAGAGGTTGTGCATGTGCGCCAGAGAGGGAGTCGCGTTGCTAAGCGACTGACTTGCCTTGTTCTCAGAGATGTGTCGCTGCTGCCCTCCACTGGATGGAGAAGGGACAACATTATTGACTGCAGCACGCAGCTTATTGTGTTCATTTGTGCACAAAGATAATTCTTTAATGACACATTGAAAACATTTGCAGAACTGTTTATTGAAGTTTTGCACTTTAAAACACAATTTGCACCCAAGGAGGGGGCTACATGTTTTTTGTTTATTTGTTGGGACAACAGAGGAGACTGAACATTTGAAAGCCGACACCTGTTGGGGCCGTTTTCTGAAACACAAACATTTAAATGTCTTTTCAACTTCAGCTGAACATTGTCTCTCTGTTTTTGAAGTCCCTGTGAAGACAGTCCTGCTGTCAGGAGGACTTTGACTTCTTCTTCCGAGCCGCTGAACTGTCCTGCTGACTCGGAGGGGGGCCTTTGCTCCATGCCGATTGACGAGTAGGCTGCGGCTTGCTGGAAGGTTCGGCGGGCTGGGCCTTTGAAACCCCAGGCATCGCCACCTTTTTTTTTTTGTTTGTTTTTTTTTTTTACATTAATGAACTGTTTTATTTAACCAAATGGTTTCATGTTTTAACATAGTAGACAGTACACGTTTTATTTATAACGTAGAGACACTAATGACATTTGACGTAGTTTATAGCTTCATCATTATTTTGTGTCGTCCACATGAGTTTGTGGTTTGCTTTTTCATGTACAGTTTGCAGCTATGTGGGTTTGATCATCATGGAAACTTTTTTGAGCGAGTAGGACCCCCCATGGAACTCAGCCCAGTAGACTCCATCCTGGTAGCGGCTTCGATAGTGTCCACCTCGGTACCACACACCATTCAGATTGGAGTGGGCACACATGTGGTACCACCAGCCTCCTTTCTGGTAATGAGCGCAGTTACCCGTGTAGCTGTCCTTGTCCCGATCCAGAGTGGTGAAGGCCTTGTTGTTGTGCCACGACAGGGAGTCCCCTGCAGTGCCTTGGTAAAGTCCCAAACGGAGGCGGTACCAGTCGCTCTCTGGTTCTAGGTGGAAGCTGTCGTACTCTGCAAACACGTGGCGGCCCTGCCAGTCCTCCAGAGCCACTCGCAGCTTATATTTGGCCTGTTTGGTGAGCCAGTAGAGGTGTTCCAGGCCGAGCCATCGCCACCTTTTTCAACGGAGGAGGATGAGACGCAGACCTGAATGTGTTTCGGGCCTTGGGCCTCGAATCGTGTCTGGGGATGATGCAGCAAAGTGCCTCAGCCTGTTTCTTCCTCTGTTCAAATTTGGTTTGGATGATGTCAAGCTCTTGACCAAACAGTCCTGTAGGCATTATCGGTTCATCCAAGTAGGCCGCTCTGTCCTTGTCAGGAACGTCAGAGAGCGTTAGCCACAGGTGCCTCTGCACCACCACAGTAGAAGCCATTCCTTTCCCCAGAGCCAATGCTGCACAGCGGGACACACACAGAATGTGGTCTGACGACAGTCGGATCTCGTTTAGCAGGGGTAAAAGGAGTTTTTCCTGTGGCATCTGATCCGCCAGTTCAGCCAAGGCCATGGCCTTGTAGGTCTGAAACATGGTGACGGAGCTCAGCGCATGGGCGGTGTTACCTTGGGCTTTGTAGATTTTCTCCAGCTGGGCCGAAGAGAATCTGCAGGGCTTGGAAGAGAGCAGGGTGGGCCCGCTCACACCCTGGTTGTGAGACGGAGCCAAATAAGCAGCTAAACATGTCTCCATCGGAGGGATGCTCACTAGGCCTGCTTGATATGCCCCTTCCATGTCCAAGTACTGACCCTGTCCGGGCACGAAGGTGCGGATGGACAGCGGTTTGCTCCAGGAAGATGTCAACTCCCACACAAAGTCCGGAAACATAGGCAGACAGTGCTTCACATCAGCCGGTTCAGACGGGAGATAAAACCCTGCAAACCTTGATGGCTTTTGAGCAGGTGGGGGGTCGGGCCATTGTACCTCCAGTTTAGCAGCAGCTCGGCGGCACGGGGACAAGAAGGATGAGTCCTGGTCCACCTTGGCAGCAGCGGGGAGTGGAGTGAGCTGGGCATGGCTCCTCGTCGTCCTCAGACAGACTGAGAACCTCCTGCTCCATTTCTAAAACATTGTCTTCCTCCTGGTTTAGATCCAGTAGAAACTGGGTCTCGCCCCCCTTGATGTCGGGTGAGGCCGCCTCGTGCTCCATCTGGTCCGCCCAGTTAGCAGTGGAGGCTTCGACCACCGAATCCTCATCTTAGTCGGACTGAGCTGGCTGGCTGGATTCTGAGAGCAGCGGGTCTTGTCGGAAAACAGCAGTTTCCCCCAGCATTTTCTCCAGTAACTTCACTCTCCTCTCCAGTGTTGGACGCGAAAGTCCAGCACAGGCCCAGCAGGACTTGGGCTCCACAAGCGCCCGTCGAGTGTGAATGATTCCCAGGCAGGCTGGGCAGGCCTCATGCTAGTCCTTCTCATGAAGCTTAAAGCCGCACCCCTGAGGACATGGGCGAACAGAAGACTTTGACTTCTTCGAAGGTGATTTTGTGCTCATCGTGAACCACAAAACAGATTTTCAGCAGAAAATAAAGGTCACTTAAGTAGCGTTGAGCGACAGACACACGAACCAGCAGGTAATGTGGTTAGCACCAGTAAGCTAGCCTAAGAACCTTCTAGAAGCTGAGCTAACTAGCAGCAGCTATGTGAGCTCAGGTTTAGAGGTGACTATAGTGAGGTGAAGGGCGATAGAACTGAGTTAATGACGCTGGTGACTCCGAACTTATAGGGTGAAGGCGGAGCCTGTCACCTGACGTTCAAAGTCACCACGTCACCGGTCTAAAGACGTGATTAGAGGTGGCTTCAGGCGTCCCATATACAACTGTGTGTTGTACTGAGTGAAACGACTGAAAAGGAACTCTGCTTTTTGCGGATGATGTGGTACTGTTGGCTTCATCAGATCGTGATCTCCAGCTCTCACTGGAGCGCTTCGCAGCCAAGTGTGAATTGGCTAGGATGAGGATCAGTGCCTCCAAATCTGAGACCATGGACTTGATCCAGAAACCGGTAGGGTGCCTTCTCCGGGTCAGGGAGAAGGTCCTGCCCCAAGTGGAGGAGTTTAAGTATTCTGGGGTCTTGTTCACGAATGAGAAGAGAATGAGAAGAATGGAGTGGGAGATCGATAGGTGGATTGATGCTTCATCTGCAGTGATGCGGGCGCTGTACCGGTCAGTCGTGGTGAAGTGAAAGCTAAGCCAGAAGGCATAGCTCTTGATTTACCAGTCGGTCTACATTTCTACCCTCATCTACGATCACAAGCTTAGGGTAGTGACAGAAAGAACGAGACTCTACATACAAGCAGCGGAAATGAGTTTCCTCCGCATGGTGTCTTGGCTCTCGCTTAGAGATAGGGTGAGAATCTCAGTCATCCGGGACTCAGAGTAGAGCCGCTGCTCCTCCACGTCGAGAGGAGCCATTTGAGGTGGCTTGGGGATCTGGTTAGGATGCCTCCTGGATGCCTCCCTGGTGAGGTGTTCCAGGCATGTCCCACTGGGAGGAGGCCCAGAGGAAGACCCAGGACACGCTGGAGGGACTTTGTCTCTCGGTTGGCCTGGGAATGCCTTGGGATTCCCCTGGATGAGCTGGCCCAATTGGCTGGGGAGAGGGAAGTCTGGGTCTCTCTGCTTAGGCTGCTGCCCCCGCTACCCGACCCCGGATAAGTGGCAGAAAACAGACGGACGGAATTTGAGATAAAGAATGCTGCAGTTCTGAGAACTCAAAGGTTTTGTTGTTGTCTCTCTCTTCCACAGGTTGTCACACCTACAAGACACCATCTTCATCAAGCAACTGCTATTTTAGCTGAGCTTTTACAGTTGAGAAAGTCTTGACTAATACAGAAAGAGATGTTAAAATAATGCAAATGATGCCTTAATCTAATGTCCTGATGCATCTCAGTAATCCAGGTAAAAAATCAAAAGGGAAAAAAATTGAATAGGTCCTCTGGGCGGGTTCTTCT